TGCCCGTTCCGCTCCTCGCGCACAGCAGCAGTTACCGCGCGCTGCAGGTCAGCCATCGTCACCGGCTGATCATACCCCCAGCCGCCACCTGGCTGACGCGGCCCCCACCAGCCGCCTCGGCCGCCGCGTTGCGCCGCCCAGTTCGCCTGAGAACCGCGGCGCCGCGGGGAATTGTGGCGGCGCCGGGACGTCGCGCGCTCGTCCTGACGCACGGGGGATTGGGGCCGCTGCTGACGGCGGCCAGGAGACTGCCGACGCGGAGCGGACGGTGCAGCGGGATTCGCCACCAGTGGTGCGACAGGAACAGCAACATGCGGCGCAGACGGACCCGCCGCATGCGGAGCCGACAGTGCAGCACCAGGCTGGGCAACAGGAGCAACTCCAGGCGGCGCAGGAGGAGCACCCGCAGACGGTGCAGGGGGCGCAACCACAGGTGGCGCGGGAGGTACAGCCGCGGCCAGAGCAGGAGCAGACCCAGCAAGCACAGGCGGAGGAGGCGCTAGCGTCTGAGGCGGTGCAGACAGAGGAGCCGGGGCGGCGGGAAGCGACGGCTGGCCCTGGACGTCAGTGGTGGCGGACCCCTCCGGCTGGGCCGCCACGCCGCCAGCAACAACCGCCTGTTCGGCGGCCGCAGACGGAGCGACGGGGTCGGCAACTCGAAGAGCGCCAGACGGAGCAGACACATCGGACGCCGCAGCGAGAGGGACAGGCGGCGCAACAGGAAGCGATGCAGACAGCGCGGGCGCCTGGTGACCACCGTCGCCAGGCAGAGACGCCAGGGCCTCGCGAAACGACGGTGCGGGGCGAGGAAGGATTTCAGCGCCTTCTGTCACGGGCTTCGGAGCAGGCGGCGTCGGGGAGCCCGTCGGCATGGTCCCCGTTCCGAAGGCAGGCGGTGGCCTTTCGTACGCAGCCGACGGAGCGCCAACGCGCATTGGCGAATAGTCGGTCGGCCCAGAAATCACCATCGAGGGGCCGAGGAGGGCGAGGCAGAGGGAGAGTAATAGCTAGCGGCGTAGGAGGTGGACCCGAGAATGGCTTCCAAGCGGCAGGGCGTCGGGCTTTAACAGCTCTGGAGAGAACTAATGAAGAGGAGGAGCGAGGGGATCCTTCTTATAGGGAGGAGCCTCTCCCACAAAGTGAAGATGACGAGGAAGAAACAGATGATGCTGGAGACAGACGAGGGACTGGGATACAAGCTGGTGAGCACGAGGCGGGCGGGGAAGGAGGAACGCATCAAGTCAATCGGACGGCTACGATCCCAACTCCTGGACAGAGCGATGCACCGAGGCGCATGCAGAGAAATCAGGCTGCGCGCTCTGGAAGCGCGTCAGCAAACCAAGCACATTTCCCCCGCGAGTTGGCGAAGCGATCGGATCTGTTCGCAGCCATCGGTGATTGGGACCTAGAGGCACTATGCGACAGTCGTCAGCCATCCCTGTCACGCCGATTACCGCCCAATTTGTGTCAGCTGTTTTCACTGGTGTTACTCACCCCGCTCCTCCACCTCGCGCGAAATCCGGACTCAGTCGCAGGTTGGCGACTGCTGCTGTTTCTCCCACGGCTCACACTTCGCCAGCCGTCGCCAAGAACACCGAAGTGGCCCGAAGTCAAAGCCCGTCTCAGAGCTTTCCAGCGTGGCGAATGGGGGCAGCTGTACTCTGACGCGATCGAAGCCATCAACACCCCACCGCCTCCACGTCACCAGCCTGACGAGGCGGGAGTACTCAGCAGGGCGGAGGGCCTGGCCAAGCGAGGAAGCCTCCGCCGAGCCGTGCTGGCCCTCGAGTCAACCCCAGTCTGCACGCCTGGCCCGGGGTCTTGGAGGAACTTCGCGCGAAACACCCCCGAGCCGACGACGAGCATCTGAGCTGGCCAACAACACCAGGCCCGAACCTTCAAATCAGCCACGCTGATTTCACCAAACTCCTGGGTCGTTGCGAAAATGGGGTGGGGACTGGACCGTCCGGAACCGCTTTCGAACACCTTCGCGACGCATCGGCAACCAACGCATCGGTCTGCACCCACCTGCATGCCCTAGTCAACACTATCCTGACGGGCAAATTACCCGAGCCAGTTGCAGACCTGCTGACGGCGTCGCGCCTAATCGCGCTGTCCAAGCCAGGTGGGGGGGTTCGGCCAATTGCAATTGGCGAGTGCCTGACGCGCCTCGCGGCCAAGGCAGCTCTGACTGCAATTGGGGAAGCTGCACGTGACCATTTCCTGCCTCTACAGTACGGGGTGGCGGTACCTGGGGGAGCTGAAGCGAACATCCATGTCGCACGTGCCTTCGTTGACTCGAGGGACCGCTGCGTGGTGTTACAGACCGACATTTCAAATGCCTTTAATAGCATTTCGCGACAAGCAATCATCAACGGGATTTGCGACAGCAACCTTTCGTCACTGCTCCCCCTAGTTCGGCTAACGTACGGTAACCCTTCGAAGCTGTACCTCGACTCAAATTTCGCCAGCCACCCGCTGAACAGTGAACGCGGGGTGAGACAGGGGGACCCACTCGGCCCCCTACTGTTCGCAGCAGGGATCCACCCAGCACTTCGCGAAACTGCAGCTGCACACCCCCACGTTCTCTGCTTGGCGTATGCAGACGACGTGACATTTTTGGGGGATGACTCAGACACTGTAGCAGCATTCAACTTATTCACGAGCAAGTTAGCGCAGCTGGGTCTCACACATAATCCACAGAAATGTGTGGCATGGAGCACAGGAGGCGACGAGCCTATTCAGCTGCCGCCAGGGGTCCCGTTATCACAGGATGGGATACGCCTTCTAGGTAGCTTCCTGGGGCCAGCAGCGGGTGCGGCAAAATTCCTGGCAGGGCAGCTGGAGGAAATGGCTAAGCCGCTGCCACTGTTAGAACGTGCCGACCCCCAAGTAGCCTCCCTGCTACTGACCCGCTGCATTTCTAGACGCGTAGCATACCTCACTAGGACCACGCCACTGAATCTCCTGCCACGAGACACCTGGGCGCAGTGGGGGAGAGACCTTCTAGCAGCGCTCCTGACATCCTGCGGGATTAAAGTCCCTACCTGTAGCACGGAGCAGTCGAGAGTGTGGGCGCAGGCTTCGCTTCCCTCATCCCTGGGCGGCTTAGGACTGACAGACCCACTCGTAGAAGGGGTCTACGGATTCGTAGCCAGCTTCACACAGGCCGCACTCTTCTTTTCCTCCCTGACGCTAGCGCCAGACACAGCACTGACCCGAGCACACAGCCACATGATTCTGCCCCGAGACAGCACCACACCGCTTCACTCCTGGCTCACAGAGTGCGAGACAGCCCTACCCTCAGACGCACGCGACGTAGTTGACCAGGAGCGGCTCTCTCGGTCGGACATCAAGCTCCAGCACACACTGGGCCTGAAAGTACAGGGGAGTAGATACGCGGTTCAGGTCCAGGAGACGAGGCAAATGAGACTGAATCCACTCTCCGGGCACACACAGAGAATGTTCTCACTCACAGGCTACGGCACAGGGGACTGGCTGACGGCGGTCCCGGTAGCTTCCTCACGTCGCATCGGCCCGGTACACTTCAGCAACGCCGTGCGCTTCCGGTTAGGCCTCCCTTTCTCCACCCCGAAGAATTGTGACTGTGCAGACCGCACCGCTATCACAGACCCGCGCCTCCCCAACCACCTCTTCCGCTGTGGCACGGGGAAGCACCGCACGAATACTCATAATGAGCTTCGCGACGCTTGCATCAGCATGGCGCAAGACGCGGGGTTCATCGTGCACCGGGAAACAAATGTTTACTGCCCCATAGAGGAGCAGACAGCGGATTTCACCATGACAGACAGAAGCAGTGGGGCAGTTTGGGTGTGTGATGTGACAGTTACAGACCCTATTAGTACCAGGGACCCGGAGGCCAAGAAAGGCAGGGGATGGGCGGCCCGGGAGCAGGCGGATAAGAAGATCAAGCACTATGAGAACCTGCCAGAGACAGTGGGCTTCTTCCCCCTCGCCGTAGAGACCTACGGCTGCCCTTGTGCGGAGGTCCCTGTGTTCCTGAAACTCCTTGCAGACACGGCGGCTCGGCGATACTTCAACGCCGACTCCAAATCCTATCATGCCGCTAAGTTTCTGCACCAGTTCAGGCAGAGGTGGTCGGTTGCACTGCAGAGGGCCCAATCCGTGGGACTCATGATCAAGTTAGGAGAGGCGGCAGCTGCAGAGAACCCGCCTGTAGGAGGGATAGGGCAAGAATTGTACCTAGGGGACTGCTTTACCGTCCTAGAGCCTCTTCTGGAGCTCTAGGTGGCTTAGTGGGGTTGGATAGTCTAGGCTACCTTGCATGTTAGTACCTGCTGTCTCTCATTGCATGTGTGTACCCTTCTGGCTTATCAATATACGGACCATTAGAGAGAGAGAGAGAGAGAGAGAGAGAGAGAGAGAGAGAGAGAGAGAGAGAGAGAGAGAGAGAGAGAGAGAGAGAGAGAGAGATAGCTTAGCCCCTTAGCCTCTCAGCCCCCTCTTTGCTAGTTTATAAAGCCCTTAAGCCTAGTTAGTTCCTCATTATTCAGCTGCGGGTTCATCCCTTCTAACCCAGCAGAGATAGAGCGAGAGAGAGAGAGAGAGAGAGAGAGAGAGAGAGAGAGAGAGAGAGAGAGAGAGAGAGAGAGAAGAGAGAGAGAGAGAGAGAGAGAGAGAGAGAGAGAGAGAGAGAGAGAGAGGCATAGCTTAGCCCCTTAGCCTCTCAGCCTCTCAGCCCCCTCTCTGCTAGTTTATAAAGCCCTTGGGCCAAGTTAGTTCCTCATTATTCAGATGCGGGTTCATCCCTTCTAACCCAGCGGCTCGCGCCGGCCGCCTTCGGCGGCCGACGCTCGACAGCGCGGCCTTTGTCTGCGCGTGAGGGGTGGCAAGAAACACACAAGACACGCTACTATAGGCATGCATACACGCATGGAACACACCACACTAGCCTAGGTGAAGCATGGAGCAAGAGGAGCCCGCATCCACAAGCGGTCAGCTCCTAGGGCACGCGGACGCTACATCTGATCCGCGTCATACACAACAAGCAGGCCCGACAGCGTGCGATGGAGCTCCCGCACCAACACCGTGCCTGCGGCGATCGCCCCGGATCCAGTCCCTGCATGCAACAACCGCCGCAGCCCACGCACGGCCGAACCAAGGGGCCCGACCCCCGCAAGCCCACCCGGCGCGGGCGCAGCCAACACGGGCGCTAGCAGCTCGGCGAGGCGATCAGCAGCTGCGAAACAATCGTCCCGAGGGCCGCCCACCAGTGAGTCGCCCTGGGACAGGGCGGCATGACCATACATCTGCACCAGATGCACGACCCGCAGCGCCTCCGAGAGGCGCCAGATCTGACCAAGGGTCACCTCCGACACCGCGACCGGACGCTGAGGCCCCAGCAGGGCCGAGAACGAGTGCGCCGCACCTGCAGACGGGGGAGGGGGATCAACAGGCAGCAGGGACGGGTATTGTGCAGTCACGGGCCCACCAGCCGCTGTCAAAAACTCGACCCCCGCCGCAGGGGGGACCCACGGCGCCTGGCGGTGATTCCCCAGCTGCGGGGTTGAAGCGGCGGGAACATGAGGAGGAGGAACAGTTGCAGGAAGACGAGGGGCACCCTGGGCAGGAGGCGCAGTCGGAAGGGGTGCCACGGGGGTCTGAGCAACACGCGGGGAGTTGCTCTGGCTCGCGTGCCCGCTCCGCTCCTCGCGCACAGCAGCAGATACCGCGCGCTGCAGGTCAGCCATCGTCACCGGCTGATCATACCCCCAGCCGCCACCCCGCTGACGCGGCCCCCACCAGCCGCCTCGGCCGCCGCGTTGCGCCGCCCAGTTCGCCTGAGAACCGCGGCGCCGCGGGGAATTGTGGCGGCGCCGGGACGTCGCGCGCTCGTCCTGCAGCGCGGGGGACTGGGGCCGCTGCTGACGACGGCCAGGAGACTGTGGACGCGGGGCGGACGGCACAGAGGGATTTGCCACCGGCGGCGCAACGGGAACGGCCACCGGCGGCGCAGACGGACCCGCCACGTGCGGAGCTAGCGGGGCAACCACAGGCTGAGCAACAGGAGCAACTTCAGGCGGCGCGAGAGGAGCTCCCACAGGCGGTGCAGGGGGCGCAATCACGGGAGGCGCGGGAGGTACAGCCACTGGGAGTGCGGGAGCAGATCCCGCCTGCACAGACGGATGATGCGCCAGCGTCGGAGGCGGCGCAGACGGGGGAGCCGGAGAGGCGGGAAGCGCCGACGGGCCCTGGACGTCAGTGGTGGTGTACCCCACCGACTGGGCCATCACGCCGCCAGCAACAATCGCCCGCTCGGCGACCGCAGACGGAACGGCGGGGTCGGCAGCTAGAAGAGCGCCAGGCGGAGCAGACACGGGAGACATCGCAACGAGAGGGACGAGGTGCAGACTGCACGGGAGCGAGGCGACCAGCGTCGCCAGGCAGAGACGCCAGGGCCTCGCGAAACGACGGTGCGGGGCGAGGAAGGATTTCAGCGCCTTCTGTCACGGGCTTCGGAGCAGGCGGCGTCGGGGAGCCCGTCGGCATGGTCCCCGTTCCGGAGGCAGGCGGTGGCCTTTCGTACGCAACCGACGCAGCGCCAGCGCGCATTAGCGAATAATCGGTCGGCCCAGCAATCACCATCGAGGGGCAGAGGAGGACGAGGCAGAGGAAGAGTGATAGCTAGCGGCGAAGGAGGTGGACCGGAGAATGGCTTCCAAGCGGCAGGACGTCGGGCTTTAACAGCTCTGGAACGGGCTAATGAGGAGGAGGATCAAGGGGACCCTTCTTATAGGGAGGAGCCGCTCCCACTCAGTGAGGACGACGAGAAAGAAATTGATGAGGCAGGGAGTCTAAGGCCGGGGAGGCAAGCTGCTGAGCATGAGAGGGGCGAGGTAGAAGGAGTGCAACAAGCGAATCGTACGGCTACGATTCCAACTCACGGACGGGGTGATACACCGAGGCGCACGCAGAGGAATCAAGCCGCGCGCAATGGCAGTGCGTCTGCAAATCAAACACATTGCCCCCGCTACTTCTCGCCAGATGAATTGGCGAAGCGATCAGACCTGTTCACAGCCATCGCTGATTGGGACTTGGCGGCCCTTTGCGACAGTCGTCAGCCATCCCTGTCACGCCGATTACCGCCCAATTTGTGTCAGCTGTTTTCACTAGTGCTACTCACCCCGCTCCTTCACCTCGCGCGAAACCCGGACTCGGTCGCAGGGTGGCGACTGTTGCTGTTTCTCCCTCGGCTCACTCTTCGCCAAACGTCGCCACGAAGTCAAAGCCCGTCTCAGAGCTTTCCAGCGTGGCGAATGGGGTCACCTGTATTCTGACGCAATCGAGGCCATCAACACCCCACCGCCTCCACGTCACCAGCCTGACGAGGCGGGAGTACTCAGCAGGGCGGAGGGCCTGGCCAAACGTGGAAGTCTACGCCGAGCCGTGCTGGCCCTCGAGTCAACCCCAGTCTGCACGCCAGGCCCAGCATTTTTGGATGAACTTCGCGCGAAGCACCCGCGAGCCGTCGACGAGCAGCTGAGCTGGCCGACAATACCTGGCCCGAACCTGCAAATCAGCCAAGCCGATTTCTCCAAACTTCTGGGTCGGTGCGAAAATGGGGTGGGGACTGGACCGTCCGGAACCGCATTCGAACACCTGCGCGACGCATCTGCAACCAACGCATCGGTCTGCACCCATCTGCATGCCCTAGTCAACACGATCCTGGCAGGCAAATTACCTGAGCCAGTGGCAGACCTGCTGACAGCGTCACGCCTAATCGCGCTGTCCAAGCCAGGTGGGGGGGTTCGGCCAATTGCAATTGGCGAGTGCCTGACGCGCCTCGCGGCCAAGGCAGCTCTGACCGCAATTGGGGAAGCTGCACGTGACCATTTCCTGCCTCTACAGTACGGGGTGGCGGTACCTGGGGGAGCTGAGGCAAACATCCATGTCGCACGTGCTTTCGTTGACTCGAGAGATTGCTGCGTGGTGTTACAAATCGACATTTCAAACGCCTTCAACAGCATTTCGCGATAGGCAATCATCGACGGGTTACGCGACAACAACCTTTCGTCACTACTCCCTCTGGTGCGGCTAACGTACGGTACCCCGTCGAAGCTGTATCTCGACTCGAACTTCGCCAGCCTCCCGCTAAACAGTGAACGCGGCGTGAGGCAGAGGGACCCACTCGGCCCTCTACTGTTCGCAGCAGGGATTCACCCAGCCCTTCGCGAAACTGCCGACACGCACCCCCACGTTCTCTGCTTGGCGTATGCAGACGACGTGACATTTTTGGGGGACGACACAGACACTGTAGCAGCATTCAATTTCTTCACGAGCAAGCTAGCGCAGCTGGGGCTCAAACATAACCCACAGAAATGTGCAGCATGGAGCACAAGCGGCGACGAGTCAATGCAGCTGCCACCAGGGGTCCCGTTTTAAAAGGACGGGATACGCCTACTGGGCAGCTTCTTGGGGCCAGCGACCGGCGCTGCCAAATTCCTGGCGGGGCAGTTAGACGACATGGGGATGAAGAAAGGTCAGGGAAGCAACTGGGCAAGCACTAGGACTGTCACAACTCACTCGTCGACTGCCCTTTACAAACACTCACAGCACCCATGCGGAACTATCAGGAGCACCTACCTGCACCCATCACCACCCATCACCACCCATCACCACCCATCACCACCCACCAGCACCCACCAGCACCCATCAGCACCCATCAGCACCCATCAGCACCCATCAGCACCCATCAGCACCTGGCGAAGCCGTTGCCGCTCTTAGAACGTGCCGACCCCCAAGTAGCCTCCCTGCTACTGACCCGCTGCATCTCCAGACGTGTAGCATACCTCACTAGGACCACACCGCTGAACCTTCTCCCACAAGAGACCTGGGCACAGTGGGGGAGAGACCTCCTAGCCGCGCTCCTGACGGCCTGCGGGATTAAGGTCCCTACCTGTAGCACGGAGCAGACAAGAGTGTGGGCGCAGGCATCGCTTCCATCATCCCTGGGCGGCCTAGGAATTACGGACCCACTCGTAGAAGGCGTCTACGGCTTCGTAGCCAGCTTCACTCAGGCCGCACTCTTCTTTTCCTCCCTGACGCTAGCACCTGATATAGCACTGACCCGAGCACACAGCCACATGATTCTGCCCCGAGATGCCACCACAACCCGCTTCATTCCTGGCTCACAGAGTGCGAGACAGCCCTACCCTCAGACGCACGCGACGTAGTTGACCAGGAGCGGCTCTCTCGGTCGGACATCAAGCTCCAGCACACACTGGCCCTCAAAGTACAGGGGAGTAGGTACGCGGTACAGGTCCAAGAGACGAGGCGAATGAGACTGAATCCACTTTCTGGGCACACACAGAGAATGTTCTCACTCACAGGCTACGGCACAGGGGACTGGCTGACGGCGGTACCGGTGGCTTCCTCACGGCGCATCGGCCTGGTACACTTCAGCAACGCTGTGCGCTTCCGGCTGGGCCTCCCTTTCTCTACTCCGAAGAACTGTGATTGTGCAGAACACACCACTATTACGGATCCGCGCCTCCCCAACCACCTCTTTCGCTGCGGCACAGGGAAGCACCGGGTGAATACTCATAATGAGCTCCGCGACGCATGCATCAGCATGGCGCAAGACGCGGGGTTCATAGTACACAAGGAAACAAACGTGTACTGCCCCATAGAGGAGCAGACAACAGACTTTATCATGACAGACAGGAGCAGTGGGACGGTTTGGGTGTGTGATGTGACGGTCACGGACCCTATTAGTACCAGGGACCCGGAGGCACAGAAAGGCAGGGGATGGGCAGCCCGGGAGCAGGCAGACAAGAAGATCAAGCACTATGCAACGCTGCCAGAGACAGTGGGCTTCTTCCCCCTTGCAGTGGAAACCTACGGCTGCCCCTGTGCGGAGGTCCCTGTGTTCCTGAAACTCCTTGCAGACACGGCGGCTCGGCGATACTTCAACGCCGACTCCAAATCCTATCATGCCGCGAAGTTCCTGCACCAGTTCAGGCAGAGGTGTCGGTTGCACTGCAGAGGGCCCAATCCGTGGGTCTTATGATCAAGTTAGGAGAGGCGGCTGCTGCAGAGAACCCGCCTGTAGGGAGGATAGGGCAAGAATTATACCTAGGGGACTGTTTCACTGTCCTAGAGCCTCTTCTTGAGCTCTAGGTGACTTAGAGGGGTTGGATAGTCTAGGCTACCTTGCATGTTAGCACCCTGCTGTCTCTCATTGCATGTGTGTACCCTTCTGGCTTATCAATATACGGACCATTAGAGAGAGAGAGAGAGAGAGAGAGAGAGAGAGAGAGAGAGAGAGAGAGAGAGAGAGAGAGAGAGAGAGAGAGAGTAATAGCCTCTCCCCTCTACCCTTAGCCTCTGCCCTTAGCCTCTCGGCCCTACTTAAGGCCTTCCCTAGGCTGTTTCCTCATTGTTAGTTTGGCGGCTGAGAATTTTTCGCGCGTTCGAGAGAGCGAGAGAGAGAGAGAGAGAGAGAGAGAGAGAGAGAGAGAGAGAGAGAGAGAGAGAGAGAGATAGAGAGAGAGAGAGTAATAGCCTCTCCCCTCTACCCTTAGCCTCTGCCCTTAGCCTCTCGGCCCTACTTAAGGCCTTCCCTAGGCTGTTTCCTCATTGTTAGTTTGGCGGCTGAGAATTTTTCGCTCGCGCGTTCGAGAGAGCGAGAGAGAGAGAGAGAGAGAGAGAGAGAGAGAGAGAGAGAGAGAGAGAGAGAGAGAGAGAGAGA